GCTTTATTCTTAAAAATCTTTTGTAGTTAAAGTAAAATCTGTAAGCAAGGTATGTCAATAAAGAAAAGCCCTATGCTTGTAAAAGAACAAAGCTTATTTTGTAATGTGTACTTTTCTGAAGTTCAAATTTTTTTGAGTAAATTTGGTTTGCTAGTATGAAATACACCTTTTACTTAAACTATTCCTTATGGAATATAGCACTATTTAATTATGAAAGGTAAAGAAAAATCATTCAGGTATAACATAGTTTAATTTTCATTAATTGTAAAGACATGCTGTATTTGTTTCCTTGGGGTGCCATAAGAAATCACCATAAATTATGTGGCTTAAAACAGCAACAGTTTGGGGTTGGGATGTGGCTCAAGCCGTAGCGCTTGCCGGGCATGCATGAGGCCTGGGTTCGATCCTCAGCACCACATATAAACAAAGATGTTGTGTCCGCCAAAAACTAAAAAATATTAAAAAATTCTCTCTCTCTCTCTGTCTGTCTCTCTCTCTCTCTCTTTCAAAACAAAACAAAAAATCAGCAACAGTTTATTCTGTAACCATTCCGGACGCCAAAGTGTCACAGGGCTGTGCTTCAATTGCTCTAGAGAAGAATTCTTCCTAGCCCCTTGTTAGCAGCAATGCTTGGTGTTCCTCAGCTTGCGGTTGCATTATTCCAATCTGCCTTGTCGTCAAATGGTCTTCTGTCCTCTGTGTCCCATGTCTATGTCCAAACTTTTTTTCTTAGAAGAATACTAGCATTGGTTTAGGTTCATTGTAATCCAATATGACCTTATCCTAACTTGACTATGTTTGTATGTTTGCAAAGCCCCAGTTTCCAAATAAGATCACCTTCGTGGGTACCACATATTAGGACTTGATATATATTTTGGGGAGAAACAATTTTACCCATTACTACCCCATGTCTTATCTGGGCTATTGGTGAAAAGGCAGCAATGATTACTAATCAGTTATTTTTGAAATAACTGATTTCTGAGATACTTGAAAATCGGTTTAAGAATATTATTTAAAGCTTTTTCTCTCATTTTAATATATCCTTCCAATACTTTTTGGTTTATTTAGTGTATTATTAGTTAATATTAAAGTCACTTACATTGGGACTTAATAAAAGTAAGGCATTAATTTAATAAATAAATGTATCAAAAGAATATATGTCTGCTGAAATAATGGGATTTCTCCTCATTTAATTTTTGGTCATCATAAACAAAGTTCATTTTTAAGGAGAGGAGCATTCTTTACATTGTTATTCCAGAGATCAGTGATTTGATATCTTGTAGAATTTGAAAATGCTTAGAATGAAAAAGGAAAGTAATTCTACTGAAAAGAAAAAAAGTTTTTAGGAGATAAATACCCAGAGTGATGAAACCCACCAGTAACTGGCAACTATAAGGTAAAGTGATAATTAACTTTATAGATGGAAAGGATTACTGAGGTGGTAGAGATAAAAGGCAAGAATTACACATAGACCACTGAGAACATGCAGACAACAGGTATAAAGTGAGATAAGAAAGGAAAAATGGGCAGAAGTGAATGACATATTATTAGAATTAATGATAGCAAAGGCCTGTATAGTCAAACTTTGGTCTCCTAAAGCATAGAGATTTATCTCTCTTTTCCTAGCTCATTGCCAGACACTTAACAATAGTTTTTCAATAAATATGGAGAAGAAAATAAGTGACAGAATTGAGAGCAAGTATAGTTGATGTAAAGAATGGGGAATTCGATGAGGCTCAGCCCTTGGCACTGCTACTTGTTTTAGCTGTGAGGCTTTGGCTAAGTTATACAGCCTTTTAAAATCTCGGTGTCCTTATTTAAGAAGTAGGAATATTACATCAAAAACCCTTTTAGAGTTTGAGCAAACAATTGTGTTTTTAAGTGAGCAGTAGCTTATTTAATAAGTAGCATGGCAATATATTTCTAATACTGATTTCCTCTCATTTCTTCTCATTGCCCTTTTTCTCACTCTTCCACTTTGACATTGGCCACACTAAAAAAAAAAATAGTAATAAGTAGGCTTTTGTTTCAGGTTCTACTTTCTGAAGAACCCAAGCTTAGATAAGATTGAAAAACTGTAAATGTTCTATTCTAAATGAATACTCACTGAACAAAACAAATATAGATCATTTAGTGAAACACTTATAAAAGCAATAAAAACAATGCTAACAACAACAACAACAAAAACATCTACACATGACCACATCTGTATGTCCTATCAGCAAATATAAGTGGCCTACAATGAGATTGGATTTTTATAAAGTTGATACATGCAGTATTTGAATAAAGCTAGTAATGTTGAAAAGAAAAAAGATATAGCAGGCTAATGAAAAGAAGATAGAAGTCACAATCCTAGCATTGGGTAAGGTTCAGCACTTTATAAATAAGAAAAAGAAGGGATACTATAGTCTGAAACACAGTCCTTACTAAACATCAACAATTATGCATATATCTGTGCTCTAGGTAGCATAGTATTCAGATGAGAAAAAAATTAAGAATTAGATGTAATAGTAAGAAATATGAGTTCTATAGGTGAAAAACAAAAAATGCATTAGCAATGGAACTTCCTAAAAGTAACTATTTTAGACTACAAAGGAAAATGAATTTCCAAAAATAGAAATTTCTCTTGATAACCATACATTAATCTATAAAATAACATTGATGGCATAGGATAAAAGCATAACCACCTAGAACTTTTTAATTTTTTTCTCAAGCAATTCTCAAATGAGATGAAGTTAAATTGTAGAATATTTTGGAAATATTTAGGAATGAAAATACATATTAGAACTATAGTTCTTGTGAAAGCAGTGATTAGAAGAAAATCACCTTAAAAACAAGCTAATAAAAGACATTGAGTTAATTAAAATATTCAAGACAATACAATGATAATGGCCCTAAAGAAATAATAAGAAATTTAAAAAGTGAAATCCAAATTGGAAAATTGTTAAACATATTTAAATCCAAGAAATCGTTCTTATAAAAAGAGATAGTGAAATGTAAAAAACATTAACCAAATCAAGAAAAAAATTACAAATACATAAAAATGAGATTTCAGAATAAACATGGGAATTTAAAATAATTAGAAATTTGACTGAATTCTTTGAAAATAAATTTGGAAACCTGGATGCAAAATTTTAGGAAAATATTTAACTTCAAGATCTATGCCTTCTAAATACAGAAAATATAAACGAACCAATTACCATAGAAGAAATAATATTGTCAGAGTCACCATTCCCAAACACAAAACTTAGTATGGTCTGATAGATAAATATTACCAACATTTCAAAGAAAAGGAATCTGTAATACTGTATGTACATCCTCTGGGAAATAGCAATGAGAGAATCAGCATGGTCTCCATATGTTTTACTATCATCTTGTGTAAGTAAGCACGTAGAGTGCAGCCACTTTAAGCAAGTCACTAAACCTGTTTCAGAGATAGTTAACAGTCCATACAAATTCAATTTTTCTTTTCTATAGACTAGGTGGAATATAGTTTCTACTCAAAATTGTTTTCACCAGCTTCCCTTTTCAGCTCTCAACCATGGAATATGACTAGAAGTAATATTTACCATTTTGAAACCAAGACTTTAAGCACAGATGTACTCTCCATAGGGAAGGCAAAATATAGTCCACCCAAACATCTGAAGGCCTGGAACCTGTGACTATGTTGTGTTACATGATAAGCTAGAATTTAAGGTTACAGATGGAATTAAATTACCAATCATCTGACCTTAAAATGAGGAGGTAATCTTGGATTAACCTGGATAACACGCCTGATGTTATCACAAAGGTCCTTAAAGTGAAAGGAAGAGGTGGAAGAGTCAGTGTCAGAGTGACCACCTCTACTGGCTGTTGTTACCTTTGAAGACAGAAGAGCCATGAACTAAAGTGTGGTTAACCTCAAAAAATAAATAAATAAATAAAATTTAAAAAAAAAGCCTGTTCACAGCTTCATTTCTGCCTGATGGATTCATTTTAGACCTCAGCCTCCAGAATTGTAAGAGAATAATTTGTGTTGCATTAAGTCCCTAAACATTTGGTAATTTATTATAGCAACAATAGGAAACTAATACTTTCCTCCACTCTTATTTTCCTCTTTTGCCCACGGGATACCATTGACAATGAAGCCCTCTATGATGGTTGAACCACAAGATGGAAGTATCTTGGGCCTTCATATCATGAAGTAAAGCCAAAATCATCCACTGACTATAAACACACTTTGGACTCATATGTGAGAAATAAACCTCTCTTATATTTGAATGATGACCCTTGTTACAATTTATCCCTATAAATGTAATTCTATGTGCCTCAGTTATCTTATTTTAAAACATGATAGTAATAATAGTAGTCACTAGAAATAGTTTTTGTGAAAATCAAGTGTTACTATATCTAAAATGTTTAGAATGATTCCTGATAGGATATAAATTTTATTATTAAGATTACATTTACACAAATGGAAACGTGTGCACACATGAAAATTATAGTATTTCTTTCAAATAACAATACAAACATTCTAAATGAAAGCCTGGATTATTGGTAGATAGAATCCAGTTCCACACTGACAGATAGGCCAAAGTAGTTAACTTTAAAATACAGAAAATTCAATTTTAGGAAATCTGTTAATATTCAACATTAGCAGTGGATGCAAAACAGCTCCTTTCTGGCTCAGATATCCCCATCTGAGTTAGGGATAATTTGTATCTTTTTTCTTTCTTTGCCAGGGAGTAGGGGTTGAACACTTTTCCAGATAGGCCAACAGCATTGAAATACTGTAGATTGTAAAACTCAGCTCAAATGTTGAAATTCTCAGACTAGGCTTTTAATTTTTTTCTTCTAATAGTTGGAGATAAGAATCTATCAATTCTAATTATGGGTGTTATTTTCTAGTATCAGAGCTCTAAGCTTATGTACTAAAAATAACAGTGCAAGATTGGAAACAATATTTAAATAAATATGCTTCTTTTTCATGTAATATTAAAAATTAACTACAGATGAAGCTGTTATCTTCATTAACATTTATTTGTAGCATTATATACAGGTGTTTTGAGATTAACCTGTGCCACCATAAGAGAACTGCTTGATTTTTTAAAATTAATTAACGTGAAACTCAAATTTCTGAAAGAATTAGCTCAGTGTACAGTTTCTACCTTTGGTATGTTAAAGGATAAGACAAGTTTTGAGGACAAAGATTGTATCCTTGTATACTCCTTGCAGACATTGGTTTTGCTGACCCAATAATATAACTCTCCTGATTATTAGACCTGAAAGGAGACTTTGGTTTGCTGAAATATTCTGTAATAGGTATTTTCATGTTGTTTTTTCTTATAAACAATGGGGTCTTGTGCTCAGCTCCTGAAACAGAAAATGTACATCTATATATAAAACCATATTTGAGACACTTAAGTATAGCTGAAATAGAAAAAAAATGTATATATAAAAATAAGACCATGTTTGAGATACTGAGTATAGCTTCTACCTTGTTTTAGTATTAAATGATATACAAAAAAAAAAAAAAACCATCAAATGAAGTTTAGGTGAATCAGAAACAGCCAAAATTCATAAAAGAATCTCTTCTCATATTTCTTACCACAGACTCATCTTTAATGAGCTATGTGTTCTATAACACACAGGCTATGCTCTTTTACTCTTAGAAACAAATGTGATTCTGGTAGGAATGATTTAGAATTGATGATGAATAAGAGGGGTAGGCAAGTATTGGACCAGTGAGAGAAAGGAGAAAGGTCTATGGTCAGATAGTTAAAATAAGAGAATAGATAAGCAGGTTAAAACAAATTCATTGTACCATACACTACTTCCATAGCCTACATAATTGCACCCAAATAGCAGTACAAATTTGTAAAGATGCTGAATAACAACAATGGAGTGAAAGGGGCATAATTTGAGGGATTTCTAGGTATCTAACAGGGAAAAATGTTGTGGGTCCTCCCGAAGTAAGACAAAGTTAATTAGACACCATCAATGTCATCATTTTACAGTCCTAGGGTGGGAAGTTTGGTAGGAGAGTCCAGATGCAGTAGATTATCCTCATAGTTAGAGTAACGAGTACTTTTTAATTTCTAAACTACACTTATTATTGTCTGTTAGCACATAAAGCCACTTTTGTGTTTGGTAAACCCCAATGGAACTGCTGGCATCTAGAGGGACCCCATGGGACTCTAATTAATTAGCATATCATTCCTAATATGAGGGGAATTTGGAGAAATAACAAAGCTTATAGATATACTTGACAGTTTGTTTCTCTGTAGTTATATTTGCCATGCTTGTTTTAAAGCTAGAAGCTGCCAGATCCACAGGGGTGCTTCTCTTGGGCTATTCTGGACCAAAGTAGGACTTTCACAATTATTTTCTCTGGTCCATATTGTAGGCTGGTACTGGACATCTGTCTGGTGGCGACACAAAACTGCTCTTTTTCTATTATATTTCACCTGTCTTACAGGGTACCTGCTTGTGGCTGGTTGCCATTTTACTCTTCTCTCTGGGTTGACTTTGTATCCAGTGAAATCATCCAGCTCTATGACAGTTAAGCTGTAAAGAACCAAACTCTGAGATCATCATCCTTTTGTAGGTCAATGCAGGGTTTTCCTTTTCATTGAGTTTGCATGACTACACCTATAGTTCTGTTGTCCTGCTGTCCTGTTTCTAGGAATGTCTCTGTCCCTGATGAGGCAGCACTTTGCCTTTCAAAACAAAGGTAAATTTATTTTAAATTCATCTCTAGGAGAAATTCAGCAGATGTGGTCCCTTAACAGTTTTGATGGAAATCACTCTTGTATTTTACTTTTTTTTTTCTTGTAAAAGCACAAATCTTTAAAATCAATGTCCCTAAGTAGTTAGTACTTGCTGGTTTCCTTATACCGACTCAGTAATTATCACAAACTATACTTAACCTTTTGCTACTTCCTTATTTCCTGCAGATTCTTGGCTTGATGCTCTGAATGAATTGGAGAAAGAAAAAAAAATTAATTTCACAGATACAAATTAGACTATTCTATCAAAAACTCAGCATATATCTATCTTAAATATGCTGTCTCAGTTCTTTGCTTTTTAATGTTGTCAGTATTAAATTTACTTCCTAACAAAAAGTTCTTACTTGGAGTAAATATCTAACTAGAACGTCCATATGCTAGTCATGAAGGTGGATATTGGCTCTAACTATCTCCTAGTTTCTGATTTTATGGATACTTTATGATAGAGACAAATTACAATATAAAATTCTCTGTCTTAATCCTTTTAAAGTGACAAATTATGTTTTTAATATTAATTTTCTCCAAATTTAAGTTTTACCAACTTTTAACTTTAAAGCAACAAGATTTTCTTCCTCAGCTTTAATAATACCTTACCACACATTCTTTCAACATGATATGATACATAATAAATATATATTAACCTTCTGCTCTTGAAATTATATAGTTTAAGAAAAATTTCTTCTGAAATAATTTCCAATTTCTTTAGTGATTATTCTTCTCTCTTAAAGCCCCCAGGAGTGTCAGAAAAATTAAGTGAAACAATCGATTTTTATCTTTATTATTCTACACAAAAACCATGCCTATATGATGTTCATTTAACAAAATATACAATAACCATAACACTATACTTTCGGTTTTCTTTATGGCTTCTATTCTT